ACTTCAAAATACATAAACCATATTCAGGTTAAATCTAATTATAAAATAAATTGCGTAATACGAATTTGCTGTTATAACGACTTTGGTAACAGATCTCATTATGGAATATGATATACTGAACATAATAATTCAAACGCATTTAATTAAATACTTTACTTATGTTGAGTAATTAATGTTAAATTATTGCAAGTATTATTATATCGTATTTAATATTTTTTATACAAAAATATTGTGAAACTGTTTCACATAAATATTATCACAGTGTTGAAATTTTATCTAAGTTTTTGCTCACTGATAAAATACTTTTTACTCTTCATCATTTTATTGAAAAAGAAAAATCTTATTTAAAAAATAGATAGATTCCGATCAGAAAATGTTTATTTTCAATCAAGTCTGCAATCAGCCGAACGATTTAAGAAAAAAATGAGATTTAGATGTGTATAATATATCAAAAGGATTTGTTTATACAGATTGTAATAAAGATTCTCTACATTGCCTCGTAAATTAAATTGAAATTAATTTTTTCTCTAAGTGCTAAATATACATATACATACACTTCGAATATATGTATGTCAATAAAAACGTCCAATATCTTTTTGATTGCCGTTGCTTTATAAAGCTAAATCGCAATTAACTTACCGCTATTGCATTGGAAAGGTGAACCGCGTACGACCTTCTATATTGTAGTATATCTCTTTGATTTCTATAATACGCGCAATGTGTCGTGAAGTGCATTTTATAATGCGTGCAATGTGTCGTGAAGCGCATCTCACGCGTGACGAAGCGTCTCCGTGGATTTGGCCGCACGTCGCCCGGACCAAGAGAAAAGATTTGCAATTCTGATCGCAGCCCTTCGTAGTTACTTCGCGTTGGGACTTAATTTGCCCGGGGGCGCGTTCGCGGGTGTACAGAAGCGGGCCGACGGTGCGCCCGCGACGGAAACGCTCGGGAATCGCGCTGGAATTATATCAAGATAACCGGTACGTCCGGTCCGCATTGGTACCCCTGTCTATGTACCGCGAAACTCATTGCCAAAGCCGTCGAAACGGCTTTCGCAAATCGTGTTGATCGTATTTAACAAAAATGGTTTTACTCGCGTTGATTGCATCGCGTTTTAATACCCCCGCGCGAAAAATATCATGGGCAGGTTTTACTCTCTTTTAAACGATATTCCCAGGATAATCTTTCCGTTCGGTTAAATCGACGTAATTTTATTGCAATCAAATCTGTTTGCAGCGGCCGGAAAAACCAATGTTACCCTTTTCAAATGTGAGATTAGCATGGACGTGTAACTTCCCCCAATATTTTGATCAACGCTCGTTGTAGCCAGATTTTTTTAGACCAACTAAAAATTCAGTTTTGATGGAACGCTGATTAATCGTAACCGATACGTTTCGAGCGTCAACGAATAATCTTTAATCGATAATCACGTGAACCGGTATTTCTCCCGTAAATACATTAAACTAAATATCTATCAGGTTATCACACAAATGATTGTTTACCATAACTGGACGTTCATTTATGATTTGTTCGCTCGCCGTATCATGTATTCTGTTGATATTTTCAACAAACGTGAATTTGCAATCGCTGGAATCTAAAGTTGATCACATTAGCATTACTTTGAATAATAATAGATAATAGTACGAGAGGGATATAAATATGCATAGCGATAATGCAAGTAGGTATAAACTTGTTCGCGACTCGACTAGTTATCACAAAAATCGAATTGGCTGGTTGAGAGAACGTACGTTACAATAACACTTTGCATTAATATAATAATAAAATCTTTATTGAACTGGTTAATGCATTCTGAATTTGTGATAATCAAATGACATCTAAGTTTACCATTATTTAGGCATTCTCAACTATACAGACTATTAAGATTAATCTTTATATAGACGGCCAAATTATCGCTATTTATTCGGAGTTTTGACGTTAAAGGCTAAGTGTATTCAAATTCACATTTCTCTTCGTTACACCGCGCTCGATGCGATGGATCCCTGACTTTCTTTACTCGCAACACAAGGAAGACGAGCTGTTAAAACTTTGTTATAAATTACGAAGTTGGGGAACGCGGGAATGCGATGGGATGATGACGGCGAACAAAAAGAACAAATTCAACCATCTCTCATCAGGAGGAAAGTCCACTTGCTAATTATTGGAAGAAAATAAAAATTATCCTATGGATTTATTATCTACGTATATATTGCAGACTGTCATCATACACAAAAGCTTTTTAGTTTTAAAAAATGATGAATCATAAATGAAGCTGCATATCTTGTTGCTTCGTGAAAATGTCATTACTCGCAGTCTCGCGATGCATTTGCCACCGTTAATTTAAATATTTCTCTTTCAAGTCCATTCATTCTCGGTCTGTCTAGCAAAAGCTCATTTAAAATTTTTTCCCTCGTAATTTAAAAATTACAAGTACTAAATGTTCTATACAGCCGATATAGAATGGGCTAACTTTATTTACTTCATAAAGTATACTACCGTATTGGCTTCCACTGGTTTGCAGAAACGAGCACCTTTATGAAAGTATAAAAATCCATCGTCCCAATTGACGTCGGCGAGCGAGGTAATTTCGTGTTACGTGGCGTATTTCCTTCTTTCAAAGAAAATTGCTGAAACGTTAAGTGTTTCGTTAAATTAGCTTTCTTTAACGAATAATTAGTTGTAAGAAGTGGCGCTACCGAGAGCATAGAAACTAGCTGGGGGTCTTGAGAGTTTAAATGTAGATACGCGTCGGTCGGGCAGTACAGCGCGCGAAACTGAAGCGCGGGGGAGGGGGAGGGGGGACGAGGGACGGCGAGTATTGCACCCTTCAAAAGAAGTCCCCGGAAACTTAGAGCTGGCATCACGTCGGTCCACATTTTTCAGGATGCCTTTCAAACGAAAATTAAGCAGGAAAAAGCTCTCTCAACTTTCCGAGTCTTATTCGTAGTAAACGCGGAAATTCGCATCTTTTTGCCATCAAGAAACTTAACTGACACTTCTCGGACTGTATGAAAAACGCTTTGTGACGCGACGTCGTGAAATTGTTTACAAGGCAATTCGGGGAGTTTTATTACAAAGTCCTTTGTAAGTATTTGATTGACAAGATGCACTTTCTTCGGTGCTCTAACAATTTATAATTATATACAAGTTAAAATGAGAGAAGGGGAGAGAATTTTTCATATTAGATATTTATATATATACGTGAGGAATGTTTATTTACTAAAAATGAATTATTATTTGACACATATATTATCGTGTATAAAATTTTCTAATTTTTTGATAATTTAATAATATTTCGTGTGTGTTCGACTTTATATTAATAATATTTTTACCGTTGATGCGTTATGTTTACAATATTTTGTTACGTATTCGTAAGCATTCTTGCTCTTATTATGTGGCACGATTTCACATGGCGCCGTCTGTTTCTTTCTCATTTCTAAGGACTTGGTGTAACATGTGCACAATATTAAACGCGGACAGCTCTTCTTATTTGAGCAAACTCATTCCGCATATAAGTCGCACAAATAAAATTACTTATTTATTTACTTAACCTACTTGCATGCTGAATGTAATTGAGAGCGTTTTATAAGTTGTGTACAATATTAAATTTATACGAAATGAAAACAAGTATTAATATTTTTAAAAAAGTGCAAAGTATAACATAACGTTTATTTTAGTTTTTTACTTATTATTATTATGATGATTTTAATGAGAAAAAAAACGCATACTCTCTCCGTTTTTGCCAACCTTCGGTTGGCGGCAGTCGGGAGTAAATAAATGAAACAATATACATAATTGCATAAAATTTGCTTCAATAAAAAATATAAAATATATTACGATAAGTTTACTGCAGTAAATTACGTTAATTACAATTTCATAATAATGTGCAGTAAAATGTCACATTTTAGGTAATAAATTTTTGTACAATTCATGAAAAATGAAGGCTAAAATATTAAAACGCGCAATCAATTATCATTAATAATATCGCGTAATTTGGGATAGCGCCATGCAATTTACGTAAAATAAATATGAGATGTATTCTAAAATTTACTTTGGAGACGTAAAAAACATATTAAATTTTAATGGATCAGATGACGTGTGAAACTACAATCATCGATCATGTTTGAAAGCATGTTTTTCTAAGATGTTTCGCAAGAATTTAGTATTCAATACACGATACATGAGTAGAGTAACATTTACGAACCGGTTATCAACCGGTGTTATAATGAATAGAATGAATGCGACGAAAGATTTACATAGTTCCGCCAACGTGTAAACACGCTTTCGCGCGGGCGTGAAAACGTGCATCGCCCACAGTAGCTACAAAGTGCCACATTTCCTAAAATATTACGTATAGCGTGGCATATGTTCCTGATGCTTTTGGGGAGGGAAGTAACCCTGCAGAGAGTTTTGTTCCCATTCGCGGCTTGTAGACCGTACCCATTTCCGTGTAGCCCGGAGGTACTACGTAATAAGAGCTTCATTCTGCACCAAGGAGTCGCAGACCTCGCCTTTTCCCTCGCTGCCTCCACCCTCCCCTCTCTCCCTCTCTCTCTCTCTCTCTCTCTCTCATACGCTGTTTTAATGCGAATGCCATCCAACGCTTGGCTTCCTTGCGGCTTAATAGGTCGAATCGTCGATAATCCTCGTATAACGGAGTTTCAGCAAAAAACAGCCGCGCTCGCTCGAGCGCGAGGGTTAGTTTGCAGAGCACCTCGTATGGGTTACGCGAAAATGGTTGGGATACGAGAGATGGGGTTGGGTTTAATATATGTATGCAGGTACGTGGCCGCGTGGACGTGAGAGCTCGCGCGTGCGTGTGTTTGCGGTTGCATGCATAGTTGCGAGGGCGGTCGAGGGGTGGATGAGGGAAATTGTCATTCGGCGGAATTGCAATTTCTCGCTGACGCGTGCTGTGCAACCTCTCGCGCGACGAGTAAAAGCGAACTAATGATGCGCACTAGACTTAATGCCCTGTATTCCTGTTCTCATTTTCCTGAAAGGTGTGAGCTGCCTGCGGGAGGTCAGCCTAGAGGTGGTACCCGAGGTGGCGCAACGTGGGGAGAAGGTGATTCTGCGGTGCCATTATGATTTGGAGGACGCGCCACTCTACTCTCTCAAGTGGTACCGGGGCAGGCATGAATTCTACCGATTCTCGCCCACCGAGGAACCATCCACCAAGATCTTCAACATTTCCGGGATTAATGTCGACGTAAGTCAGTAAACGAAATCTCCGATAACGTTTTACATTCGGTCGAATTGAATTTCCCTATTGCTGACGTATTTTTAATATTAATTAGCAATAATGTATGTACATTAATATAGTATAATAATGAATTATATTTATTTTTTCTACAATTTTATGTTAAAAAAACAATAACGTGCAAAGAGGGCAATTCAGTTCGTCACATGTGTCAATTTTCATGCTAAAAATGAAATGTAACACACGTAAAAGCAAATGTATCAATATTTTTCGGTAAAAATTTTAAATAGACAATATTTTTAAATAACATTTTTGCGCGTGCGCTACGACTTACAATATAATGATATTGATTTTGCAAAAAGTTAATTTTCTTTACCTCGTTTTTTTCAATATCTATTTTGTCTAAAATATTTATATATATTTTTTATTTCTTTTAATACATTTTAGGTTTTTTTTACAAGAAAGAGCTACATTATTTAAGTGCAATTTTTCGTTAATAAAAACTGCAACAAAACATTTTTCAATTGAAGGAATGAATAGAATTCATTAACATGAATATTTTGATGAAATGAACGAGTTTATGAATTTCAAATGGCAAATATTTAACATTTAATAAACGTTAATAAAATATAAAATGAGCCATTTCTCTGTATAGATATAATAATATTGGTATATAATTACCAAAATGTAAATTGAAAGTGGATCGTTAAGCAGCTGCAATTTCATGTATACATAGAGAACGGGATAAAATAATATATTTCAAATAATAATAATGCGCAGAAGAATACTTGACACAAATATATCTGCGATGTTTCTATCGTATCTATTGTACATATTTGAAAAAATTAAATGTGCTTGAATATTTTTTACTTATTTGTTTCTTATCATACCGAAGAATCTTTTTTTGTACTTTTTTCTATTATTTTGCCAGTTGACTTTACTAATTATACATATTAAATCAGACCTTTTGTTTAAGAATATTTCTAATATTACTATCGGCAAATTTTCCATGATTTAAAGAAGATGACTTTAATCGAGCATATTTCCTTCTCGGGTAAGAAACTGTAAAAGGATTCACAGGAAAGCCCAGTAACGTTCCAATATATTTAGTATCAGTCTCTGTGTCCATGTTGATAAATCTTCAATATTCTTTTTTTTTTTGCACCGCCGCTTTTCCTTAAACATCTGCTAATACCTGATCCCTTTAAAACATCATGAACATGCTCACCGTTAAAAAAGAAACGATGCGTCCGAGGTCTTAACGATCGGCAACCGAGGGGGAGGAACATTTGTTAATTGGAGCACACTTTTACACACGTCCCCGAATGGAGTTTGCGAGACCGCGGCTATCTTTTTTCGGTCGAACCGCGCAAATCGGCGGGGGTTAGCTAACAACGAAATATGCGGTTTTATCGTATCACCGTATAACGCAAACCGCAGGTTGCCGGGTGGCGCCTCGTTAACAGCACCCTTGACCGCTGTAATCGCCGTAAAACAGTCGGGTCTACGGTTGCTTTTATCATCGCTCGAACATTTCCGTAGGCTGTTACACGCGTTGGGCGCGATGGTTTGCGGGAGGGGGTGGCGTGGGGTGACCGCCAATCGCGGCCATGCCGCGTGCACGCGCCTGCTGCGCCAAAAACAAGCCCCTCGGTACCGTTGTGTTCCGGTACAGCCGAATGAACGACCTGACAAACCGTGACAACGCGCCGCACGTTCCTGTTCCCGTTTACGTTTATCGTTTCGAAACACGGTACACGCGCGGCCGGCTCTCCGGTGACGAACGGGAAGTAATGCACCGCGGCGCGCCGTGAGGGGTATAAAAGCCTCGATTTCGAAAAAAAATACGTCCGTCCCCCTCCCCCATTTGTTTTCCTCCCTCCCAGAGGGAAGGCTGCGAGAAAAAATTGTTTTGTTACTTGGCTTGTTTTCAGGCTGATATTCGATTTGCTATATATATATGCGTATCCTGTCCGGATATCTATATCGGAAATACGTTTGGCAGGACTTTGATGCGTACCCTTGTTTCCGCGGCTTGTTAATATCGCAATACTCTAGTCGTTACACCAGAGATACGTTTTATTTAATAGACCTTTTATATTGGGGAATGAATCGCTATCACGCTCGCGGCGACGCGTGTCCGGAGGGCTTGAAAAAAAAAAATGATTTTTCACTTCGTTGTTTTTCGCCGTGTTATACTAAATCGCTTATGCGATTACGAACCCGAATTATCGTATTATTATACCCGGTACATTCTCCACCAGCGCGCGCGCGGAGAAACTCCGCGTAAACAAATTTTATTCTGCATCTAGTAAAGAGCAGTTATTGTATGGAATTCCGTATAATGCACGTATATACGCGCGGAAATTCTGCGTATATGTTGAAAGTGCTAAACATCGAGTTAACCAATTCGACTCAGCGTTTGTAAAGTCAAAGCAGCGAAACACATTTGCACGAGTCAACAAAGCGCCGCTCGAGCAGGTGTTGTATGGGACAGTGTGCAGTATGTTAAAAGCGCCTTCATGATGACATATAAAGCCCCCGGATGCTACGCGTATCAACATATTTAATATTGTGCCTTGTCATGCGTTTCACTGCATCGAACTTCGCAAATCATATAGTATATCATTGATTTTTGTTGACATTTATAGCAGAGAATCGAATACTGAAATTTCGCGACGTTTAAGGACAACGGACGAGAGTTAGCGAGCAAAAAGACCGACGCATTGACCTACGAGCATTGACCCATTATTCCACAATGCCCGTGCCCGAAGTCACGATTGGTTCGTTCCCAATACCTATCTATTTGCAATTCCCGACCAAACCCAAGTATTGACGCTCGTTCGAGAAGTATAGATATCACGCTTCCAGCATATTGACATCGTCGCAGCCATTCTAGTAGGAATTCAAACAAGTATCGGACAAGTTAACGGCCCATAAAAAAAGACAATCTACCGCAATGGGCACGTTACCGCATGATCGAATTCTTCTAGATATAAAAAAAGAAGCCGCAAATAATGATTTTTGTGTCAAAGACGTGCTCTTTTTAAAACTACGAATGGAGAAAGAATGTCGAAGTAGTGATCACAGGTGAACTATTAACTCCGGGAAGTAACGGATTTAATTTTTACAATAATTGCGTACGTATATATTTTGGCGAAATGCTTTTAATGCATATAAACAGAGTTAAGAAAAGATGAAAAGAAATTGTTCTCTTCTGATAAGTAATTACTCTCAGATTATCCGATATTCGTCGTCTCTCACATTTGATATTTTGATCGAATAATTTTGGCGCTTCGTTAATTTTTCGTGCATGCGACGGGATTAATAGCGGTTGTCCGACGTTGAATTAATATCTCGCGCGAGATTGTTATCCTGGACATTAGTAATCTGCAAATGATCGATTCATACGCTACAAATATTGGGTATCTCGTGCGAGGAGGATATCAGCGTCATCGCCAGTCGGGTAGAGCACGACAAGACGCTACACATCGGAGATTATTCCCTGGATAGTGTCGAGTGAGAGTGCTATGGTTTCATATTTATCCCTCCCGTGCGGCGTACCCGGGCTTTTGTCCCTGTTTCTGTAAAGTCAGCCGGGGACTCGGCGCGCCCTCGCTCACATAAATCAACGAGGAAAGAGAAAGAGAGCTCACTTGCCTTTCACGCTCCTTTCCCGCTCGTCAAAGAGCTCGCAATTCACGGGGTTTTTTCTCGCCCCAGCCATCGGCGCGCTCCCGCTCGCTCGCTACTTTCTCCTCTTTCTTTATTTAAGCACCGCTAATTATGCATGCTTCGTTTTGCTTATTCCGATTAAACTCTTTCTCTTACTCGGGCCCTATCGCCGTCGCGAAGTCGCTTCACCTCTATTTCCGCCGGCAGCTTGGCTTTCCGGGTCACTTTAGTCGAGTGCTCGATAATTTCCTGATAAGATGATTGTTCCCTCAAGTGGACCAGGCATATCGTCGGACGCGACGGGGGCTAAGGATATTCATGGAATATTTGCCGAAACAAAGAGAACGCTGCATCTTTTTAAAAGTTTTAATTTTACTGTATACTCACGAGAAATTAAAAAAAAAAGTGTAATTATTACTGGTGCTAAATATTTGTCAACAGTTAAATTACCAGTCAGTATAACGCGTAAAATATTATAAACCGATAGAATAGCTTATGACAAATAGCAAATCCATGTTTATTAGTACACAATTATATACACAGACGTCGAATCGCGAAACAACAACGCGAATATCTAATCTCTCCAACATGTGTAACGTCTTTCAACAAATGAGATTATATCGAATCACGTTATCCGCATGTAAATGACATTACGACTACGCCGCGACGGTAATAACCTAGGCCGCTGCGCCTGATACGCAGGTACTTCCCATTCGCCGTGTACACCTTATGCGGACGTGTGTTTCAGCCCGACAACTCGAACAAGAGCCAGGTAACGCTTCGCAATGTCGACTTCGGCCTCTCGGGTACATTCATCTGCGAAGTTACGGCAGACGCGCCGACCTTCTCCACGGCCTCCGGCTCGAAGAATCTCACCGTAGTATGTAAGTACATGCCCCACGGTATTACCCGGTATCACGAAACTCCGCACATGCACGAGGCAGACTGCCACTCTTCCCGTTATCCCGGGCCATAGCTTTACGCACGAGCGAATTAAGCGAGTGCCTTGAAAGACGAAAGCTTCTTTTTTTTTTATTACCGCGTATCACGTCAGATAATGCAAGCATACGAGAATTGATACTCAATTGTAATAATTCTTACTCTCTCGCGATATCCTTGAATGAGTGTGTATGCGGAGAACTAAATTTTTAGCTATAATCGAAAACCCATTTTTTCCACAAAATATAAAAGTCGCAATTTTACTTCGTGATTAACAATTAAATATGTAACAACTAAGTATTTTCACAATTGTTCGGCGAGTCATTCTCTTGTAATACTTTTTTGAAACTTTTAAATTTAAGTCTGGTTGTATCTATATATGCGCGCGTGCATTGCACGAAAAGGGCAACGATAATATTTTTTATCTCAATTGAGTAAGCTAAAAAGCTTTAGTATAACGTTCCAGTTTCTGTGTGAGTATGATAATTTTATAAAATTACGAGCGATACATAATTAGAACTGGCGCAAATGCTGTCATATATTTTCTTTAAACCGCGTATTTTTACGTGAAAATTTCTTCTGAGTGCAGTTGACCCATAGAAATGTTCCGTTTATTCAGTATTAAAAAACGAGGTTTTGCTCCGTTTTATACATACAATCTCTTTTTTTTCCAATGGAATTAAATGGATGAGGAAATAGTTATGATATTATAATTTCTAATTTACAAATTTTAACATTATTTATCTTTATCTTTAACAATCCAAATTGAAATACCTCGAATTTTGAATTTGATCTCTTTTATTATGAATTATTCTATTGTATAAACCAGTATAATTGATAAATTAATGTATAAAAACATTGCGAAATTAATTTTTGAAACTGTAGAAATTAATTATAACTACGCTTTTATTTGTAATCTCTGATTTTAATGTAGTTTCGAAAAACAGTAATACAATAAACATTTTTTTATTGTGCATTATCGTTAAACTGTAAATAATTTAAAAACTCAATTCAATTTAATTAAATTTTACATTCTAAGTTATATTGAGAAGTAAAATCACTCAACGTTTAGAAATTTTTGAAATTAAATGCACTTCCATTCGATATTTGTGCTAATCTTTTTGTTACTATAATTCATATTAGTGCAATACGACATCGTAAGTTGAAGTACTCAAAGGGATATGCACATATCTCTGCAGCAGCGATAAAAGTTCTCTTGTCATCGTTATTAAGTCTGTCGCATTTGATCCGTCTATTGAATTTGATCCGTCTGTCGTCCTCTTAGCTGATTTGATATCAGCTTGTTCGTTCAATGCAATATTCATATATGTTTGGCCGAATCTGCATATATATCGTATGGGAATCCGTGATTTTTCTATATTGACTTGTAAATAATGATACATTTTTATAAATGCCATATGCGGTCTGAAGTGAATCTTGTGCTTGATAATAATTGTGTGAATCTTTACAATTTCCAGTTCAGGTAAATTACGCGTCGAATATTTGTCCGTCTTGAAGCGCAGCTGCAAATTGAATCCGGACTACGTAATATTATAAATTAAATCGACAAGCAATTTAATAATTTTGATGCCAATGTGCATCTTATTAAATCCTATAGAATAACTTATTGCAAAAAATATTACCTCAACCAGGATCTCCCTACTCTTCGGGCGGGTGTCTTACCGTCGACTACCGAGTAGATATTATCTATTACATTAAATGTTATAGCTAAAGTATTGTTCACGAAAATGTTATCATAGATAAACTGATTTATACGTAGTTAATATAAATGTTAGTAAAAATTTGGCATGTTTCAAAAAATCCCGAATTCAGGACAGTACGGATAAATTACGGTTGGCGAAATTCCATTTCGCAGATTCGATGTACGTTGCACAGAATTAGAAGTTTTACCGTTCATTAAGGAAATTAGTTTATCATTCTCCAGTGTCATCAGCATGGATGTAATTTATCGCATGAAATTTAAAAGTTAAACTCGCGCAATTAAAAGTATGTCGCTTTGCATTCCATTGATAATCGTGTCGCAAACTCAATAAAGTGAATTCCAAATCACTCATTTAATACGTGTAAGTGACGGATTCCGTAATGCATATTAATCAAGTTGTTTATCATACGGTGTATGAATGTTACAAAATATTGCATATTAAAATGTAAGGTTATAAAAAATGTATTCGTACGTGTCAGGTATTTATAATATCATTTATATTAATAAAGTGAAAGCGCGCTCTCTTTTAATCCAATAAACAATCAGTGTCGATAAATCCTAAGACATAATTAACGATGCAATAACGTTTGATATTCGTATTTTCGACATAAACATATCAAATATTTTACTTTTCCACAATTTGAACATATCGAGTAACACCTAATACATGATGACGTTTTCTCAAGATTCATTATATGAAGTATGACATTATCTTCAACATTTTTTTAATGTCATGCACATTTTGCATAATAAATTTAGGAAAAATAACAGTTGCTTTTAATCGCTTTATTTTCTTTATTTGCACCGCTAAACCTTATTTTGTGGATGTATTTTTGAATTTATTAGTCGAGGGAATCTAGTCACTAGAATAGCCGATAAGATTTATGATCACCTGGGAATTCTCAGTTTGGCGTTTGCGCTATTGGATTTAAGGGACTCGCGATTTATTCAAAGATGAGCGACCGCGAGATAGTAATTTCGCCATATATCTGTCCGCTGAGCTCTTTAAATCTTCTTGCTGTAAGTTACCAGCATTGTCGGGACTACCAGATGCTTTCTACAATCCTCTCCTTTCTGTAAACTTGCGAGAAATCGAAGATTTCACAACGCGATGTAGCAGCATTAAGGAACGCGCGAATTGTGCGTCGCGGAGATACATTTTGCAAGGCGAAAATCGAGACTCTCGAAGCACGGTTGAAGAACTTTCACGCGTATATGTTTGCACAGTTGCATCCTTTATGCTACGCATAAAGCTGGCAACGCACGGAACGTGTCTCTCTTGTTGGACTTTTTGTTCACTCCTGCGCGTGCTGCACTGTTTGTCATGGCATTGCTGATGTGCTCGTTACAAATTGTTGCATAACAGGACATTATCACGGAAACGGTAAATATAAAGAGATGCTGATTTTTCGAAACCTTTCGTTATAATTTAATATCAAATAGTGAATTATTTATACGATGTACTGCTAATCGAAAACGTTCCGTTATATTTATGTTATCATTTCTGCAGATTTTTTAATTTGTCTCATAAAGAGATATTGCAGTTTTTTCCAAGTTTAATATTATATTATTATTTAAATTAGTTTTATATCTTTTTCGAAATATTTATAATATATAATTGCTTTAATATAATATTAGTATTTTTTCTTTTTTAAATAAAAATATAAAAAATCGTAAAAGAATTTTCTATATTGTATAAAAATTGTATGGACAATCAGTGCGACTGATATAATAATCATATGACTTACTTTCATGTAATCTAAAATCATTAGACATATTTTTTATTGATATCTTAATTCGATCTTATTTATTAAGAAATAAATCAACAGAATTTTATTTACTTTGCACGTAAAAGTTTAGTTGTAAATATTTCTTGTATGGGGCTACTACATTTTTCAAAATTAAAAATAGCTGTGCTCTTTTTGCGTCTGCATACATTCTGCTTTGTTTAGCGGAAAATAATTCAATATTTTTATTATATTCAAGAATTTTATTTTTCTACGCGTTATGCTTTTTTATTTTTCATAACTAGCAGGTATAACAAACGTTGCGTACGCAATTTTAGCTTTTTCACGACGTAACGAAGCTATATGTTAATTGCAAAACAGTTATTGTTGTGTAAAAGGGTTTTGTTTAATATTGTAATATATTTTATGTGTGTTATTATAGTACATTTATATAATATAAATACATATATTTGAAATTCCTTTGCTCTTTGAAAAAATATATATAAAACTTTTTTTACGTTTTATATGCGGGAAACAATTTTGCCTCACTATTTTTCCACGAATATGTAGGTATTATGCGATGAAATCGAGCGACGAAATTGACATATTTTTTTTCTTATCGCGGCTAGGCGTGCGAGGAATTCGAGCGAAAAGTTATTTGAATAGAATTTATGTATCGAAATTACGAAACTATTCTTGAAACATGTGCTATCATCTCCCGCTTCGGAAGGAGAAGAATTTATTTCGCAACTCTATATCGAGAGGATTCAATGAACGGTCTGTAACGTCTTAAAGTGCGACGGCACGATTCTACGTAAGATGCTGGAAAAATGCTTGAATATCAGAAATTCTATGCTGCCTCGTCTTTCTCTTGCATCCTTTACATAAAACGCAAGCAGAATGCTAAGTTTGGCAGTACATTCTGTAACATTAATACGTCAATTGCGTGCACAATGCGCAAAAATTAAAAATAATTTGCAATGCATAATGCGTTTGGCAAACAACAACTGTGTCATGTAATTTAATTATTTATGTGCATAAGACTTGTGTTAATTTGAATTGGTATGAGTAACATTGTGCATACTGTCCCTTAATAGAGCAGTATATAGTAATAGCAAAGTCGCATAAACTTGGTGAACGGTATTACTGAATTATCTAACTATACGCGAGCATTGTACCGTAAGCGTACACAACATCGTGAGTAATACGGTGTGCACTCCATCACTTCATTATTTTATATCCGACGAGCTATGCTATTTCTGGAAAGCATTCCATCAGAAAGAAAATTCTCCGGAAACCTCGTTAGAAATGAAATGTTGAATCTTTTGAAATTACACTACACTGTCAGACGAAGCAATTTTTTTTTTTTATACAATCGCGTTATGTGATAGTCAGATATATGATATATACAGATTGCTTCGGACAGCGTGTGCTTTGTTCGAACAATAACTTTTTAATAATTATTTAATTCTGCAACAAATTTCAAAGCAATTTTTTTCCTAGAAAATTGAGAAAGCAATATTTTTCACTTATATAATCTCTAATTTTAAGACTTAATGTCTTGGTAATTAAGTTTGGGAGTTAAACTTCTGCCAAAAGTAAAATTTACTTAAAATTAATCGTGGAAACAAGAATATCTTTGCGCTCTTGAAATTTAATTTTCCATTAATCTTTAAATTTCAATGCCAAACATTATTTTATAATTTTCATAAATCAGATGAGGTTTTATCAAATTATTATAGCAAATTACAAATTTCGATGAATTAGATGAATCTATATTATATGCATTTACGCTCATTTGATTTTATATAAATTAATTTTGATATGTATACATTTATACTAAATGTATAATTATTACGTAATTAACATTACCCGTGTTGGAACACGTGTTGTATGTTTCATACAAAAGTTATGATTATTATTGATATTTACTCGCTAGTTAACTGTATGATAGTCGTTGGTACGTTTATGCGCTTGTAACTTTCACGAGTATTTCAAAGCAGTAAATATTTGAGGTTGCAATCAATTTTAGGAGCTAAATTTCTGCTCGTTAAATTTGAACGGTTAATCCTTTTACATCCGAGATTTAAATATCAACATTGCTGGAAAATTAAATTGCAAGAAAATATGAAATTTTGGTAGAAATAAATCGATTTTAGTTTTGTTATGCGATGAATGTACAATTAAACACTAGAATGAAGGCAAAAATGTATCGATTAAGTAAATTATTATCACGTAACAAGCCAATTTTTATTCAGTTTCTTAGCCGATTTGAGTTTTTCCTGCACATAATGAAAATGTAATAGGATACAGCGGGGTAATTTGAATAGTGGGGTAATTTGGATAATAGTGAGCATTTGCAAGAATTTCAGAAAAATAAGAAATTTTAAGATACATTTCATTATATCAATGTCTGATATAATGAAATGTATCTTAAAATCTCTTATTTTTCTGAAATTCTTGCAAATGCTTATTATTATCCAAATTACCCCGCTGTACCCTATGATTTATTATTTTCTTATCGTTTATGTATAACAACAATTGTTTCTCAATGACGCGAATTATATGGCGTAAACCGTTAAGACGTAATAATTCCACTTTATGCAAAATTACAACATTTTTCGAAAATGTCGCATAATTTCATTTTGTACAAGGTGAGGTTGCTTATCAAGAAGATTGCACATATATGTTAATGACGAAATTTCTACGTATTCGCGCTCTAATGTTCTCATGAATGTAAAATAGATTCAGATCTTAATATAACGCTCGAGAGTGGTGAACGCTATATCGAAATCGCTTGTAATTCTGCTTAAGCACGTTCCTCTCAATGCACCGACAAATGCGTGACTAAATCACTTCACGCAAATTCACTTCCGAATTTTCCATCAAGTTTTGTTCTCGTAAATTTCCAAGATATTTTTTTCCCACGAGAAACTCGTGTTATTAAAATTATACGTTATCGTTGGAAAATGTTTGATTGTATACACATACATAGAAATTCTATAGCAATTTTTTCATCAAAACATCGAATAAAACATCCATTAGGAATTTGCGTTGTTACAACATTACATTATCCGGCGCATAATACTTTTATTGAGCGCGCTTAATTAAATTTTTTCTCATCTTCTATATTACAGTAACAATTTTTGAAAATTTTTTACAAAAATGAATTTAAATATGAAATTCATTAACTTTTTATCTTAAGTAATATGTGATATTAAAAAAGTATTAATTTATTTGTATTTAATAATTGCAAATATATTTATTATTACCGAAAAAATAGTTTTAAATTTGGAAAATGAGAAGAATGTTTTGGACACAGATATAGCCGATAAAATATTACATACAAAGTTTTAATGTATGATTTAATTTACACTGTGCCAAAATTTATATTTATTTCATTAATTATTTCATTTAAAATATATTTTTAAATAATATCAGAGCAAAAATTTTGTGCCAATTAGCTGTTATACGAATGTACTATTGTCATTTTAATTGAAGAAATGCGTCATGTTTAATTGGCATAGTCTTTTCATTTGCGGGAACATATGGATGGTAGTCATCAAAAATTTGTATATGTAGTAGTATGTCATTCCAACTTTGAAATTGACTTCCGATAAGCGGAGAACAAGATTGATGATTGAATGATGCATGATGGCTGTCGAAATTTCTGGCAACCGTTGGCCATTTCAATCTGCAAAATTCAAGGATCAGTCATATCATCCAATATTCCAGCCATCAAACGCAAGCGAATGCATTTATATAAAATGCTTTGAAAATGTTTTTGCAGTGATAGCGAATAAAAACTTTTGTAAATATATTTATTTCGAATGACACGTTATTTATTTATGAATGAAACGGATTTAATGCATTCTTCCGCGATGGGACTTTTTTAAATTAATCTGTTTAAAAATTTCGATTATTTTTAAATTATTTTTATTTTTTTTTTATTTTTTGAAGCAAAAATAAAGACGATTCTTATTTTTTATCTTTATATAAAATATTTGTCCATATTTATGAAGTCGCTCCATTGCTTTATTGCAATTAATTAGTTGAAAATGTGATGAACGTTTTCATGAATTCTTTAACATTTATTAATCCATTTATTGCCCATATTTACTTTCCATATAATGTCGTCGTATTGGAATCTCCTGCTTTTTCGTTCATAATATTGTTGACCTTATTGTATTCCTATCTTTTCTTTTTCTGGTAGGATACTTTAGGTTTTATTGTTCCTCCGTCTATTCCCGGTGCTCCTCCGTCAAATATTTAAAAGTTTCCTCTTTTTCACCGAGTTGCTGTAAATGTATCACATCTATTTTTCAGCAGACAGTCTTCGTAGAAAACTTATCTCCATTGTTTTCTTTTTACTCTTTGCTTTAATTGTGCTGATACCGTTACTGTCTTACTACACGGGATGCATTCCGATCAATATTCTTTGACGTGATTAACGAATTTTGTATAAAACTAATGGACACTCGAAAAGAAAAATATTCAACGCGATGGATGATCTTCGAAGATTCCATTTCCACCACGCAATCTCGCCATCGATCACGGCGATGCTCGCGATTCGTTACGATTGGCAGGCATAATATCTGCAGATCGTCTTCTTTATTAGCAGCATTCGAATTCAGGCAGAAGATCCTTCCCCGCGGCAAAACGAGGCTATCCGCACCCCCCGGACGGGATATGAATTTCATATTTTACGATAACATCGCAAGATGCTCGTAGGGTAAACGAATTTTGTCCCGGTACAGTTTTCACGTGCTCAAAGGAAAATTGTATCCGCACTTGAATTTTCCCGAACGTTACTTCCCTTCGTTTATATCGATTTTCTCGTATCGTATAACGGCGTCGTGTAAAAATTTGCACCGCAGTAGAGCCGCGCGGTAATAAATCGATATTAAAACGCGTGTACTTAATCGAAATTTACTTTAAATAGAACAGAGAAAACTCGGCACAAAATAGACAGAATTCTTTATGTCACAGTAAAAGTTTCATCGCGTAATTCTCTTGCGATATCTGACTATTGCGCGTTGGTCATTTTTTTTCTCATACTCTTTATTCTGTTATTTTAATAAAAGTTCAGGAAAAAGTACAAGTCATAATTATGAATTTTTTACAACAATAGACGTTAATAAAGCTCTTGTTCATAAGAAAAAAATTAAAGTTGAAAATTCCCGCCTTTTTCGATAAAATATGCTACGTCATGTAATTTTATATTTTAAATTTATATCATAATATTTCAGTAATACTTTATATTTGTATATTCGAATAACATTTAATTTATTACGAGACAAAGGGAGTTTTCTACATTTATACTTTTTCTGAACGTCTCAGATTTCTATTTGAACGTTTTTTCTTTCATACAACAGGATATTAAATATCAGCCATTCATGAATTCGTGCTCGCATTGCGCAAGGAATAGCGTCGCCTCGACATCGCTATCGTGCTTCTTTATCGATTTTTTTTGCGCCTTTCTCGATACTATTCATTGACGGAACGTGGCAACGTAACCGGGATTCGATTAATCGTTCTATCGTTTCACGAGTCGTCGGTTTATCGTCGCCTCGAGCAGAGCTTAGGAGACTTCACGGTTATTCCTTTCACTTGACTTACCAGCAATAGCTTCCGGTTTCATCTCAAGTACGTTGGCTTCAAGTGCTTCGCTGTATAAAGTACACATATACGAAGCCCGTAGTTAAGAACGTGAGAGTAATCGAAAAGTCCAAGTTGAGAAGATACTATAACGCGTTATCGAGGTGCACCGATTGAAAATCTCGGAACATCTTTTATATTTATCACAATATTATTCTATTAGAATAGAAAACCTAAAGAGAAGCGATATTATTGGCGAAATATCATAAACGGAAATTGAGTTGTGACATATAGCTCGATTTATCGTGTGAATGAATTGACCTCCCGCTCTTTCGTAACGTTACAATTTTGTTAACACTGTGTTTCACTTGATTTACATTAAATAATTTTAAATATATAAATACATATATGATAACACGAGAGGTATTTACAAATTCCACGCGCGTTTGATTTTCTCGCTTAATGTGCGCAGTTTATTTATTCTAGTGCTATTGAGAAAGTTCTATTTACGAGTATCGAAAAACATAATGCCGAAATCTGTTCGACTCAACTTTCTAAATTATTCGAGGAATTTAATTATTCTTCAGAGTATTAGCTCGATGAATGTTTGACTGAAATACGCTATTCAATTTTGATAATAATAAGCTCTAGCTATATTTTAATTTGGACGCAAGTTAGTCCGAAAGCATGAGTCACTAATTAGCATACGATAAAATAAATGGCGATAATTTTCCCACCGGCTTGATTTGATGCTTGGAAATTAACCGACAAAGTAAACGTACACTTCTCAGTTTGAATCGTCATATTTTAATTATGTAAATAATCGCGATCGAAATAAGTTTTTTTAAATATAATTTACGTATAATTCTCATTTACTGCCAGTTGTATGCTTAATGGATGCACTGTATGTATTCTGTGTACATGTGTATAATGTGTGTGGGGGGGGGGGAGAGGTAATGGGCAAGCGAAGATATTTTTCGTGTAAATACGTAAAATACGTTTGTGGAAGATTTTTTTATTTTTTTTCCCCGAGTGAAGTACGCAGCGAACATTTAATATCTTCGGCCGCTATGGAACCTTGATGGCTTAGTGATAAAGTTGAAGTGCTTTGTAAATTGACGATCCGTTCCCGGTGCATCCAATTTCTCCAAAAATATTTGTGCAACGAACGAAATTGAAATGTGTATATAATATGCATTTCGACATTTATTCGTAAACATCGGGACGAACTTGGCAATAAATTCGAATAATCGCCGCTACAAATATTAGATGCATTGTTTAAGTGTAACATTAATACTGTAGTTAAGAAATGGTGAGGATTACGTTTCAAATAAAATTGATTTTAACAAACCGATAATTATTTTACTAATTGTTGAATTTTTAAGAGATTCCCGCGTTTCACCCGAATTATCTGATATACATATCTACTGTTTGGAATTCTTCGAAAATTAGATTACTTCGTGTTACGTTTCCTGTTTGAAGTATCGCGACGATTAGTGAGTTTCCAATACAAAGTTTGCTTTATTACTTCACACAGGTCCTGTTATCTGTGCGGGGGCAATAGCCGGTTCTATTCACGGACACTTCATTTTGCTGCAGAACAAACAAGCTTTTAATCACAGTTTCAGTTTGCAGCTATTGTCTTTGCAGTGCAACGCCCCGCGTTTACCCGATTTCGCGCTACCACGGCGAAAATCAATATCCACGTACCGCGTTTAATATTTTTCCACGGTTACGCGTTCGTAACTGCCTTCTGAGGATGGCGTCGGGATTACGCAATACACGTAACCCCATTGTACTCTGCGGAAGCGCATAAAGCTGGCGACATAACGGGGTCTCCTCATTGGCGCGCTTGAATATTGGATAAGTTCGGCGGCGGGCACGGGGAAACGGAGCGATTACGGAGGCGCCCGCCTTCCCCCTGCCGTGCCGCGCTCGAGTTTCGTCGACAATGACTATAAGAGAGACCCGCGAAATTATTATGTTTCAGTTCTGCCCCGTGAAGAGCCCGTTATCGTATCGGAACGCGATCGCTACGACCCGGGAGACATGCTGAGAGCAAATTGCAGCGTGCCGCCCTCGAAGCCACCGGTTCACCTCTTATTCACGCTGAACAGCATGCCGGTAAGTGATGCCTATCGACACGATTGTCGTATTATCGAATCAGAGGAAGCGAGAGAATATGTGTTAGCGATTGGGTTTTCGGCATTATACTTGCGGTTGTATGTACAGTAGAATAGAAATTGACCTTTTCGGATAGGAAAGGTACTGGAGTGAATGATGAGCGAAATACAAACGTGCCACCGTGTCTCTCCGAGAAGAAAGAGTTGAATTGTTTTATTTATTATCAAACGAATTATCCTGCGTAACAATCAATTTTGAAATACGATAATTTTTAACGATCACTTTTGCTGCCTCAGTGTACCCATTACGTGGGTGTTACACATTCCACTCGTCGGACCAGATAGGAAATTAGCCGAGTGTGAAAACATGCAAACCGTTGAAAATGTATATGTTATAAAAATACTTCGAGCCGTGGTTATTCTTCCTTCTTTTTGTCAAACGGTCCATTTAACAGCTGCACCCCTTTTTACCTTCGTACCACTCAATCGGAATCCGCTTTTCTCACATCTTCCCGTTCGAAATGGGTCCTTTTATAAAAATTGTTAAATCGAAGACTATTTGCTCTTGCCACCCCATGAAACTCGTAAGCCTCATTGAAAGTGCACATTTCGATATCGATTTTCAATTTACCGAATGTATGTGTCTACACAGCGGCTATTATCATCGTCGCCAATGTTTATTGTAGTAGGAAACTCCTCTAACCGTTCGGAAAGGAGATCATTTCCGCACGTTACTATTTTCCCCTTTATCGCCGAAATCACGCGCTCGAAATGGGCTCCATTTATTACCGGCTTTTAACTGATGTGCACGGAATTTGCATAGTCCTACTGGCGCGAGGGCACATTTTAGAGCTCAATTTAGTCGGAAATAATTCCGGCGTAAGAACATTGAGGAACCTGGCGAGTTCTACGAAGGGAGGAGACGCATTGACAGACATTAAAGAGGTTAAGCGAGCCCTTTGTCCCGCGAAAATGTAACGCCGTAATACGCGTATAGTCTGTTTTGGCAATCCAGTTCTTATACCGAGATTGACGACCCGTACAGGAATTAGAGCGCGGATGATTAAGCCTCACCCGGATGTAGACGCGCCGCGAACGTCGTCTCCGAGGGTAAAAGGTTTTATCAAACGCCGTCCGCGGGATACGGGAATTTGAATAATCGGATAATCCGTGCGAAAGCCGCCAGGAGCACCGAACGAAATATTAATAACTGCGATACGAGGAAAAATGTTGTCGAGTAACTTTTACCGAGTGAAACGCGCGGCGCGGCACGGGCGCAGCCTCCGGCGATGCATTACCCATAATCTCCGGAGAGATGACGTCACGGGGATCTCATTAGCTGATACAGCTAAATGCAAAATGGAAGCGCGGTCCAGGCTCGATCGCCCGCGGAAATCCGAAATTCGCCATCGACTTTGATCGAGCGGGATTCCGCCGCCTGAACGCAGCGCGTCTTTTGTCTCGCTATGTTAATTTCCACATTTTTAAACAGAAGAGACATCCTCCATCCTAGCGAGTATTTCACCCTTGATTGTTTGCATTATGAGCGTTACGCTCAAAGAGAGAAATATAACTGTCGTCTTTTAACGAAACTGATTGACAGGAAACTGTTTGGTCATCGCCAGTATCTTACGATATTAATCAGAATCATATAAATCTACTAGACAAATATTCAATAATTTGGAATAATCTATTATCCGAAGATTGTTATTTTTCTAACATTGTTTCCTACTTGGGTTTCTAATGCCGTTTATACGCATCATTTATTATACGTCTGGAAGCAGAATTGTTCAGTCAACAATAGTTAAGTTGCTGTTTATACGCGTCATTGTTATACATCTGGAAACAGAATTGTTTAGTCAACGTAGTTAATTTGTTTTGGTCGATCGAATCGAGATGATCGAGATGATAGCGAATCGTAACTTTCTTCGTAAGATTGTAACGATATTATCTCCCGGATGTGCGTGATAGTAAAAAGTCGGGAAAATACGAATCCGACGAAATCAACCGCGGGTTTCATGGGATCTGGGAAATTAGTATCGCGTATATACATACATATAAGTGCAAGTAAAGCGAAGGAGCGGCGCCGACGAGGCCGGGCGGCGGAGGGGTAGTAACGAATTGCCCAGGTCAGGAGCGACCGGGTCGGTCTGCTAGCTTCTTACGGCTAACGTCTTGTCGAGAAACTCGTCGAATTTGCAGGGAACGTTTCTGAGAGCGTAGAAGATATCTTGTCGCGGAAACAACGGTTTCTTACGGCCGGGGCGTTGCCAGTACAAGTTTACTCGCGCCGGAAAAAGTAGTTTGCTCCTAGGAAAAACTTTTAGGTAGTTGATCTCTAGCCGAGAAGGTTTATTCTCCGATTTATTCGTAAATCTTTTCAATTGTTATTTCAATTATTATTGCCGTATTATTTCAATATTTATTAATGAATAACGCGTATTTACTGCTTATTATAAATATTATAAATTGCATAAATACGCAACATCACATCCATCAATTGTAGTACACGACAAATTATGTCTTTAATGCTGTTGCTGAACTTCTTAATGAAAAAGAAGTTCAGTTTTGTCGTGCTAATTTTCACTTTGATAATACAATTTTATAGATCATTATATGAGTATATTAAAACTTATTAAATTTTAATATTAAAACATTGTAAAATGTTTGCTGTTATATTCAAAGTCATCTATAATTTTTTTGTTCGATAATATAGTTATATACACACATAAGATAAATATACATTGAAATATATTTATTATTATTATGTTATATTAATGTAGATAATATTTGTTCACGTATATATTTTCAACACAAAATGTGTGTAATTACAATATCAATACTGATATTAAAGACCACATTATCAGTGAAATATTTTTGCCGCGAACGTAGTAATATGCGATAAGAGTCTTAATGTCGATAGGTGCATACTAAATTTCAGACGAATTTAAATAGAAAATCGACTATAATTGATATGCTTTTATGCTTATTAATTGTTCCTATTTTTTCATGATGTGACGCAAATATGTAACATGCCGTCAGGATATCTTTGATGATATGAAAATTGATAAATTACAGTTTTAATGGCATGATATATCGCAAAAGAGACAAACGGTTTAACTCCGGGGCACGTAACGGATATTATTATCATTAAATGAAACACCGTAACACATTTATTATATCGCGTACAATAAATCTCCCTTAATTCTACTAATACATTAAGCATACCGAAAGCGCTTAGAAACTTTTAATTGTAGCAGTTCACGCAACGTACTCGTATTTTATAGTAACTTCATCCGAATGACGTTTACATCGCGTACACCCGCGGCCAGATATTCCTAAGGTTAATCTACGCACCGGCACTATCACGGGCACGCGAATAAATTTTGCGCAACTGACGCGCGCTCTTACGCAGATATCAATATGCAGTCGTTATCCTTTAATACCCCTATAGCTCGACATCGTAAGCGGCGCTAGATCACGCGCGATCTCGCTTATCCTATTGTACATTCGCGTGCACGTATAAGGCAACGTATAACGCGGTGCTCGGACACACTCTCGTCCGGTATATAAACCGATATAACTCCGAAAAGACAAGAGGTACAAAGAGCGCAAAAGAGATACAAAGTGCGCTCCTAGTTCACCATACGGTTTCACATAAACGACACCAGTGCGATATGATATCATATATTTCACATGGTTCCAGTACATCGATCTTAAAGTAGCCACATTTGGAAGGGGCAAGTCAGCCGCCCGTGACTATAATCGGCATACCTGTTAATTTTTCATATTTTTGAGGAGCTTTGCAAGATCAGATTAGTTGGTCCGATTTGTTTTTTCTTTAGATTTTAATCCTGGATTATTTTGTTCAGATATTTTTACGATATTATAAGTTCTCTCTCACTTTCTCTCTCCGTGCTTTATTTCCTATCTTTCCCTTCTACATCCTTCGCATCATCCACACGAGATTTACACGCTCGTGAAGAACAACCTATCGGAATACCATGTATTACTCGATAATATGAGCGGGATTTGTTATTTGAGTGAGATTTATTGTGGTTTTATGCGTCGCTCGACACGTATATAACCGTGCTACCGAACCTGGCAATGGCAAATTACGACCTCTCTCTGAAATATCTGTTTGATGCTCCGCATTTTTTGCCCCCTCGGGATTTCGTTTTTAATGAATTTGTTGGATATTTTTTCCGCGAAAGGATTAATGTTTGGTCTTTCCGATTTTATGCTACCCGCGGATTTGTGCTTCAGCTTTCAACTTAAACGCGGATCTTATTTGATGTATTAATTTGCGCTTTTACGTTTACAACTGAAGTAACAAACGATAAACACTGATGTTGAGATGAAAACGCGTTATAAAACGAGTTAAGAAATCAACTTCCACGTAACATTTTGTTTTAAAATTACAGTTTGCAAGAAAATATTTAAATAATGTAGGAAAAAATTTACGGTATAAATTAATAAATACTTACGATTTTTAAGGATCTCTAGTTATACTTATTGTTAGTACATAATTTGAAAATATTATTTGTAATAATAATATAAATAATACAAATAAATTTGAGAGCCCTTCTATAGTCACGGCTGGATTTTGATGCCTAATAAATTCTATATGAATTTATTAAATCTATTATTCAGCCATTTAAACTGCGCGCCGAATCAATGTCGGACTTGTAACGCAATCATTAGCTGAAGTTGGAACAGTGAGATCACAATTGATCTTTATTCCTTAATAATTCGATGTGACTAAGCATCTTAAAATTCTGCGAAGAACAACTTATTGCAAAAAAGATTACAATGTCGGCTGCGTTTTGTATTATTCACTTACGCGGTCAAATTAATAATTATTTAATATACGTGCCTCTAACATACATTCTCACTCAATATACCGGTTATTGCGATAAGTATCATCACATGCCTCGGTGATTGAATTGGTTAGACGTCCCGCAAAGTCGGGATTCTCAGGTTCAAACTCTGACTGAGGTATTTTAAAATATAAATATTATTTATATTAAACAACTGATAAAAAATAACATTTTAATATTAATAATAAAAGCAAAATTTATGTATAGTAAATATTGTAT